GTGCTTGTACAATACTGTATAGCACAGAGTCACACACTTGTCAGGTATCATCAGACACACACTACTACCAAAATAACTTTAAAACTCAGCCTTAGTTTTAGGCAGATCTTGCTTTACTGCTGCTTGCATCAGGAACTGACACCAGGGTTAGTGCTATGTGGGATCCTTGGGACGTCCTTACCTAACCTTAACCTTCAAGGCCCAGTGCAGCCAAAAACGTGATTTCCCTGTGTTTTATATATATTTCCACACTGAGGTTGGAATAATACTGTGAAATTGTGAAAATTATAATGCTCTTTTAGTGTAAGAGTTGTTTGAAAAGACAGGCTGAAATGTTTTTGGGGGACATCAACAGGCGGTAAATTAGTTACCAATAACAGTTCCAAACCTGTGCCAATAACATAATTTGCAGTTTTTCCCTTCCCCACTCAGACCCCTCCCAACTCAGACCCCTTCCCAGACATCTAGCAAAATTCTTGCTTGAGAAATTGCTCTTTGCTAAGAACCAATTTTTTAAAACCATTTTAATTGAAAACAATCACAGTAAGGTACTTAATTGTTACCCAGAAATGATTTGATATTGAGATAAAAACGGCTGCATTGGACCTTTATAAGTTTTAAATGTCAACTTAAATGGGGGTGATGTCAGATATGGGATGTCCCAAGGATCCCATTTATTAACTGTCATCCACCCTTAGCAACCACCAACCTCAGAACTCTTCTTTAAACCAATAAGATTGCACAATGTTGGCAAGTGGCATACGCCTCCATCACACCAACAGTGTCATTGCATTTTGGTACACCAGAAGTACATTCATTTTCAATGGAACGCTCAGTTTGCCTTGCAGCATTGCATTGCAGAGGCAGCTGCAGTGCGTTCTGTGTGGCGCATATGTTGGATTTATTGAAGTATGCATCAAATTGTATGCGTCGATGGCTTGACAGAAATGGTAGCAGAAGGTGAATATTTAACTATCTGTGTGGTGCAAGGCAAACAGCGTATCCAAATGCTGCGTACCAATTTGCGCAATATACAGTTGAAGTCGGAAGTATACATACACTTAGGTTGGAGTCATTAAAACTTGTTTTTCAACCACTCCACGAATTTCTTGTTAACAAACTATAGTTTTGGCAAGTTGGTTAGGACATCTACTTTGTGCATGACACAAGTAATTTTTCCAACAATTGTTTACAGACAGATTATTTCACTTATAATTCACTGTATCACAATTCCAGTGGGTCAGAAGTTTACATACACTAAGTTGAATGTGTCTTTAAACGGCTTGGAAAATTCCAGGAAATGATGTCATGGCTTTAGAAGCTTCTGATAGGCTAATTGACATCATTTGAGTCAATTGGAGGTGTACCTGTGGATGTATTTTTAGGCCCACCTTCAAACTCGGTGCCTCTTTGCTTGACATCATGGGAAAATCAGCCAAGACCTCAGAAAAAGAATTGTAGACCTCCATAAGTCTGGTTCATCCTTGGGAGCAATTTCCAAACACCTGAAGGTACCACGTTCATCTGTACAAACAATAGTACACAAGTATAAACACCATGGGACCACGCAGCCGTCCTACCGCTCAGGAAGGAGATGAACGTACTTTGGTGCGAAAAGTGCAAATCAATCCCAGAACAACAGCAAAGGACCTTGTGAAGATGTTGGAGGAAACAGGTACAAAAGTATCTATATCCACAGTAAAACGAGTCCTATATCGACATAACCTGAAAGGCTGCTCAGCAAGGAAGAAGCCACCGCTCCAACACCGCCATAAAAAAGCCAGACTACGGTTTGCAACTGCACATGGGGACAAAGATCGTACTTTTGGAAGAAATGTCCTCTGGTCTGATGAAACAAAAATAGAACTGTTTGGCCATAATGACCATCGTTATGTTTGGAGGAAAAAGGGGGTGGCTTGCAAGCCGAAGAACACCATCCCAACCGTGAAGCAAAGGGGTGGCAGCATCATGCTTTGGGGGTGCTTTGCTTCAGGAGGGACTGGTGCACTTCACAAAATAGATGGCATCATGAGGTAGGAAAATTATGTGGATATATTGAAGCAACATCTCAAGACATCAGTCAGGAAGTTAAAGCTTGGTCGCAAATGGGTCTTCCAAATGGACAATGACCCCAAGCATACTACCAAAGTTGTGACAAAATGGCTTAAGGACAACAAAGTCAAGGTATTGGAGTGGCCATCACAAAGCCCTGACCTCAATCCTATAGAAAATGTGTGGGCAGAACTGAAAAAGTGTGTGCAAGCAAGGAGGCCTACAAACCTGACTCCGTTACACCAGCTCTGTCAGGAGGAATGGGCCAAAATTCACCCAACTTGTTGTGGGAAGCTTGTGGAAGACTACCCGAAACGTTTGACCAAAGTTAAACAATTTAAAGGCAATGCTACCAAATACTAATTGAGTGTATGTAAACTTCTGACCCACTGGGAATGTGATGAAATAAATAAAACCTGAAATAAATAATTCTCTCTACTATTATTCTGACATTTCACATTCTTAAAATAAAGTGGTGATCCTAACTGACCTAAGACGGGGACCTTTTACTACGATTAAATGTCAGGAATTGTGAAAAACTGAGTTTAAATGTATTTGACTAAGGTGTATGTAAACTTCCGACTTTAACTGTAGGTGTGATCGAGGCATTATGTCTTATTATTCCACTGTCCTTGCTATCCGGGTTCCTTGGGTCGTCCCTACCTCAGTTAAGTTTAAATGTAAATTATTGCGTTATGGTAAAGCCTCGATCACACTGACAGCTTTGTTGCATTTTGGTACACCAGAAGTACATTCATTTCCAATGGAATGCTGTGTTTGCCTTGCAGCATTGTATTGCAGAGGCAGTTGAAGTGTGTTCTCTGTGGTGCATAAGTGTTGGATTTATCGAACATATGCATGAAACTGTATGCGTGGACCAAATGATTGTAGTTATACAGTTGACACTGCCACTTTCAACCAGTTAGCAAGTTGGACATTTACGAGTTTCCTAGTTCCGACTAGCACATGAACGCGGGATGAGGGACGAGCGTTGGAGTGATGCGCCATCTGACATAAGACACTAGCGGTGCGTTCAGTTCACTTGGTTTGCTACAACTTTCCCCAAAACGTTCTTGTACTTTCTTGAACAGACTTTCGCCTCGATCACACCTACAGCGTCATTGCGCAAAATGGTACGCAGCAGCATCTGGATATGTGTACAACAAAAGTTCAACATTCACCTTCTGCTACCATTTCTGTCAAGCCGTCTACAGCATACAATTTGATGCATATGTTTGATAAATCCAAGGTATGTGCCACACAGAATGCACTGCAACTGCCTCTGCAACTAAATGCTGCAAGGCAAACGCATTGGAAATTAACGCCTTGATCACACCGACAGTGTCTTTGAGCAAAGTAGTACGCAGCATCATCTGGATATGTGTGCAACAAAAGTTCACCATTCACCTTCTGCTACCATTTCTGTCAAGCCGTCTATGCATACAGTTTGATGCATCAATTAGATAAATCCAAAATATGCACCACACAGAATGCACTGCAACTCGGCATCATCGGGATATGTGTGCAACAAAAGTTCAACATTCACCTTCTGCTACCATTTCTGTCAAGTGGTCCATGCAATGCAGCGTTCCATTGGAAATGAATATACTTCTGGTGTACCAAAATGCAATGACACTGTGGGTGTGATCGAGGTGTAATGTACTTCTGGTGTACCAAAACCATGTCGGTGTGAACAAGGCGTTTGAGGAAGGTTTGGTGGGGTGTGGCTTGAAGCAACGAGTGACGTATTTAAAGGGAAGAAGCCATGCTGACAGCGTTCCCCAACCCACAACCCTCACCGTTTTTCAACTGGTCGTTCACTACAGCAGCGTTTCCGTTCAATTGAACGTTCCAGAACGTAAAGTACTGAACGCAGCCCAGGTACGGGTTAGGGTTTAGGGTACAGAAGCCCCAAAGGACCCCAGATAGCATGAACCATTAAAATCAAATACACATGTATTGGTCACATACACATTTAGCAGTTGTTATTTCGGGTGTAGCGAAACGCTTGTGTTCCTAAATCAAACAATTCAGTAGTATCTAACAATTCAAAACAATACACACATCTGAAAGTAAAATAATGCAATTAAGAAATATGTAAATATTAGGACGAGCAAATTATTATTAAACATGGGTAGAATTTCAATAGCCAGTGCTATGCGGGATAATTTGGATGGCCCTACCATAACCCCGACCCTAACATTAGCCCTTACCTTAACCGTTTACATTTAAATTTTAAAATGTCAACTTCAGTGAGGTAGGGAAGTCCCAAGAATGCCGGATAGCACGGACCAATCGCAATTGCGTCCTCTCTCCTCGCCGCCTCCTCAAAATCCATTGGATGAGAAAGCCAGAGGTCCCGCCCCTCTGACCTTTTACTCCAATGGGTTCTGAGAAGGAGGCGACGAGAGAGGACGCTAGGAGTATGCAATTGAGATTCTTCCATTGAGTCCATGAGGAGGCGTGTGAGTGACTTTGGAAGAGGCAGGTTTTGAACTAAAACTTCACTCTTGACCGAGGAGAATTTATATGCTAAGAACGTAGTAATGATTTACCACTGCAGTTTTAACCGTGGTTTTGTAAGACACCATTTGTTTGGGTTATGGGCCAATTGAGCAGTGTTTAGCTAGTTAGCCGCGGAGTAAGTTAGCTTAGCTAGGTAAAGTTAGCTGGCTATCGGAGATTCGAGGTCATTTGCTGGTTTTACGTTGAGCTGTTGCGATATGCATAACGTTGACATGTGGTGTTACTATGTGGCCGTTTATATAAACTGTCAAGCTACTACCTCTAACTAGCTATCTTACTTTGACAGTTTGAGTTGGGTTAGCTAACGTTAGCTAGCTAACTTTCAACAATAAACAGTCAACCGAGAAGTAAGTTAACGTGCAGATATCTTATCATTATAACGTTAGCTAGTTGAACAAGATATAAGTGTGCAGTAGTACAGAATGCTGCTCTCCCTGGTTGTGCACACGTACTCGTTGCGGTACTGGTTTCCTGCAGTGGTAATGCTAGGCACAGCTCCGGCTTATGTGCTGTCATGGGGTGCTTGTCGTGTGCTTACTGCTGTCCTACCATCAAGACTATACCGCAGGATGGACGACCACCTCTATAACATATACCAGAGCCTCGTCCTCTTTTTCTTCGAAAACTATACCGGGGTGGAGGTGAGTAGGCCTAAGTTACATTTCATTTTAAGGACACAAATGGAAGCGTTACTCCCAGCTCCTCAATGAAAATGCATGCAACCTGTATTGCCTCTTGGCTTGTTCTACAATCCTTGATTGCACGTGGGGAATCCTCACTGCAGTCAACCTACCCTGAAAATAATCGGTCAAGCCATCCGCGCTGTAGAATTTGGGTGCGCGCATGCGCTACACATTATGGTATCACGCGGAATATGCTCTACAATGAGAGAAACTCCGATCTATGAACCTCTTCTGAACATAAATTATTTAGTGTTGCCAGTGAATTGTGTGATGGCGTGATGTTTATACCCAGTAACTTGATTCAAAAAGTGAGGCAAATTGTATTGACTTTCTTCACCCTTTTTTTGGTTCGGTTAGTTAGACCGTCTTTAGTGATTTGAGATTGCCCTTAACAATGATTGCATTTGGATGTCATGACATAGGTCAGGAATAGTCTTGCAGCAAAGAAACATCTAATCCAGGGGTGTCAAACTCATTTTAGCTCAGGGGCCACATGGAGGAAAATCTATTCCCAAGTGGGCCGGACCGGAAAAATCATGGTCTATATAACTTAAAAACAACAACTTCAAATTGTTTTCTTTGTTTTAATACGATCAACATACAACATAAAGCTGGAGCCTGAGGACAGTGTGTCCAAAATAGTACAAGCACAACATCACTATTAATCATAAAACACGTCAAGTTTATTTGAAAATTCTAAAGAAAAAGAACACACAAACACACAATGCCTCAGTGATTAACATAACTGTTTCACAGATCACAGAACTATATCAGGGTGTCATTTCTCAGGCAGAAATGTAGATAAAAAATAATGAAATCCTGTTCCCCAAACAAGTGCAAGAACCACAGTCTGGAATAGGTTAAATATACAAATAAAATAAATTAAAAACAATAGCACATCAACATATAAACATAAAGCTGGAGCCTGAGGACAGTGTCCAAAAGCACAACATCACTATTAATCATAAAACACCTCAAGTTATTTGAAGGTTCTGAGGACAAAGAACACACAAACACACAATGCCTCAGTGATTCACAGAAGTATATCACAGATCACAGAACTATATCAGGGTGTCATTTCTCAGGCAGAGATGTAGATAAAAATAATGAAATCCTGTTCCCCAAACAAGTGCAAGAACCACAGAGTCAAGAATAGGTTAAATATACAAATAAAATAAAATAAATTAAAAACAATAGCACATCAACATAAAAACATATAAACATAAATCTGAAAGCATTGCTCAAACTCCCATAACAGTCCCGTTATTTTATCTATGAACCGCTTCATGTCTGCCACATGTTGGGTCGCGCACACATTTTCAGACAGGGGAAGTGAGCTGCATCACCACCGGCAAGTTGCGTCTCCCACAATGACAGCTTCAACTTGAAAGAACGTATGCTGTCATAATACTGCGTGACAACTTTGTTGCGCCCTTGCAGCTGTTTGTTCAAGTTATTCAGGTGCTCTGTAACATCCACCATAAATGCAAGGTCCTGCATCCATTCTGCGGAATGAAATTCTAACACTGGTTTGCCCTTTTCTTCCATGAACTGTTCAATTTCTTCTCGTAAATCAAAGAAACGCCTCAGCACAGCACCTCGGCTTAACCATCTTACCTCAGTGTGGTATGGCAGGCCATAGATGTGGTCTTTCTCTCTGAGAAGGCTGTCAAACTAACTGTGATTCAGGCTTCTGGATCGGATGAAATGAACAGTTTGGATGACCACCTTCATGACGTTATCCATCTTTAATGACTTGCAACACAAAGCCTCCTGGTGCAAAATACAGTGAAAAGTCAAAAAATCACGTCCTCCATTTGCAGATTGCACTTTCTCTCTGAACTTTGTCACAACGCCTGCTTTTTTCCCGATCATTGAGGGCGCACCATCTGTAGCCAGGCTGACAGTGCGGGACCAGTCCACTCCGACCCTGTCCAGCGCGCCGACGAGTGCGGTAAAAATATCAGCTGCTGTCGTTGTATCTGTCATCGGCACCAACTCCACGAACTCCTCGGTGACGGTCAATGTGTCATCAACTCCGCGGATGAAAATGGCCAGTTGTGCAACATCTGTAATGTCCGTGCTTTCATCAATTGCAACCGAAAACGCAATAAATGACTTTACTTTTTGCTTCAACTGGCTGTCCAAATCCACTGAAGGATCGGAAATCCTGTCTGCAACTGTGTTTCTTGTCAGGCTGATATTTGCAAAAGCCTGCCGCTTTTCAGGGCACACAATCTCCGCTGCCTTCATCATGCATGTTTTTACAAATTCACCCTCACTAAATGGTTTTGAAGCCACTGCGATTTCATTAGCAATGAGGTAGCTAGCTTTCACTGCAGCGTCACTGATGTCTCGGCTGTGAGTAAACACAGACTGCTGTTTCTTCAGACCCGCCAACAGTTCATTCACCTTCTCTCATCTCCGCTGTCCTTGAAAGTTGTCATATTTGTCGGCATGAAGACTCACATAGTGGCGACGAAGGTTATATTCTTTCAGCACTGCAACATGCTCTGAACACACCAAACATACAGCTTTCCCATTCAATTCAGTGAATAAATAGGATGACACTTTTTCTTGGAACACTCTGCACTCTGCGTCCACTTTTCTCTTTTTTGACATAGACATATTGGGGCAATGAGGGTGCCAAAGCACATAATGTTAAAAGTAGAAGCCGTAATAAATATCGCGGGCAAAACAAAGTAGCTCATTGGCTGCACGTGCTTGACGTACTTGCTCTGCCCCGGTATAAACAGTTTGCTTGCTTAACACAATTGCTATTGCGCCATCCAGTGGACGCAATTGGAACAGCAGTTTATTTTATGGAAAAATTGCAGCGCATTTTTATACTTTACACAATTATTATTATTATTATTATTTTTATTTTTTCAAAATCATCTCGCGGACCGGATTAAACCCGTTTGCGGGCCGGACGTTTGACACCCCTGATCTAATCACTTTATAAAGGCACGGATCTGATTAAAATCATATTCGGATTAATATAGCCATGATTAGATTTTCTAATTATCATAACCTATTGTCAAATATGATAATATGTAATATTTGAATCGTTCTGATTTTAATTGAAGAGCTAATTCAAATAGATTGCCAATAAAAATAATTACTGGGTTAGTTTAATCTCATATTCCATAATATTTATCCTGTATTTGAGACTCAATTAAAGTTTAACATACTGTTTCAAATACTGTATCCTTAAAACCCAAAGAGCAAGTAATGCCGATGTAGTAGCACAGTGGCTAGGAAAAACGCCCTAGAAAGGCAGGAACCTAGGAAGGAACAGAGAGAAACCAGGCTCCAAGGGGTGGCCAGTCCTCTTCTTACTGGGCCGAGTGGAGATTATAAGAGTACATGGCCATTAAAGCCAGATCGTTCTTCAAGCTTTTCAAACATTCATAGGTGACCATAATAATATCAGTGGTTAAAGAGGGTGCAACAGGTCAGCACCTCAGGAGTAAATGTCAGTTTGCTTTTCATAGCCGAGCATTCAGAGGTAGAGAGAGCGGGTCGAAACGGCAGGTCCGGGACAAGGTAGCACATCCAGTGAACAGGTCAGGGTTCCAACTACTCCACTACCTGTTATGCACTAGAAGAAATGCACCCCTCCAAACATACTTGCATCACATAAGCGAAAATGGCATTCATCCCGATTAAAGACTAAATTTAAAGACTGTTTCAAATACTTAAGTAAACTCAATGGATTAATTTAGTACAACTACTCCTATCTATTTAATGGACTAAAAGCATTTCTACTGTACCATTTTGAAAATGCACCTCACAAAAAACTACTTACACTACATTAACAAAAGTATGTGGACACTGCTTGTCGAACATCTCATTCCAAAATCATGGGCATTAATATGGAGTTGGTCCCTCCCTTTGCTGCTAAAACAGCCTCCACTCATCTGGGAAGGCTTTCTACTAGATATTAGAACATTGCTGCGGGGACTTCCTTCCATTCAGCCACAAGCATTGGTGAGGTCAGACACTGATGTTGGGCGATTAAGCAGGGCTCGCAGTCGGCGTTCTAATTCTTCCCCAAGGTTTAAGATAGGGTTGAGGTCATGGCTCTGTGCAGGCCTCTCAAGTTCTTCCACACCGAACTCTACAAACCATTTCTATATGGACCTCGCTTTGTGACCAGGGGCATTGTCATGCTGAAACAGGAAAGGGCTGTCACCAAACTGTTGCCACAAAGTTAGGCGCACAGATTTGTCTAGAATGTCATTGAATGCTATAGCGTTAAGATTTCCCTTCACTGGAACTAAGGGGCCTTGCTCGAACCATGAAAAAGTCCTCCTCCACCAAACTTTACAGTTGACACTATGCATTGGGGCAGGTAGCGTTCTCCTGGCATCCGCCAAACCCAGATATGTCCGTCGGATTGTCGGATGGTGAAGCGTGATTCAAATCTCCAGTGAACGCGTTTCCACTGCTCCAGAGTCCAATGGTGGCGAGCTTAACACCTTAACAAACATGTCAGAGCAAAAACCAAGCCATGAGGTCGAAGGAATTGTCTGTAGAGCTCCGAGACAGGATTGTGTCGAGGCACAGATCTGGGGAAGGGTACCAAAAAATGTCTGCAGCATTGAAGGTCCCCAAGAACACAGTGGCCTCCTCCATCATTCTTAAATGGAAGAAGTTTGGAACCACCAAGATTCTTCCTAGAGTTGTCTGCCTGGCCAAACTGAGCAATTGGGGGAGAAGGGCCTTGGTCAGGGAGGTGACCAAGAACCCGATGGTCACTCTGACAGTGTTCCTCTGTGGAATTGGGAGAACTTTCAGAAGGACAACCATCTCTGCAGCACTCCACCAATCAGGCCTTTATATTAGAGTGGCCAGACGGAAGCCACTCCTCAGTAAAAGGCACATGACAGCCCGCTTAGAGATTGCCAAAAGGCACCTAAAGGACTCTGACCATAAGAAACAAGATTCTCTGGTCTGATGAAAGCAAGATTGAACTCTTTGGCCTGAATGCGAAGCGTCACGTCTGGAGGAAACCTGGCACCAACCCTACGGTGAAGCATGGTGGTGGCATGCTGTGGGGATGTTTTTCAGCGGCAGAGACTGGGAGACTAGTCAGGATCGAGGGAAAGATGAATGGAGCAAAGGACAGAGAGATCCTTCTCCCGAGTGGCGCAGTGGTCTAAGGCACTGCATCGCAGTGCTAGCTGTGCCAATAGAGATCCTGGTTCGAATCCAGGCTCTGTCGTAGCCGGCCGCGACTGGGAGACCCATGGGGCGGCGCACAATTGGCCCAGCGTCGTCCAGGGTAGGGGAAGGAATGGCCGGCAGGGATGTAGCTCAGTTGGTAGAGCATGGCGTTTGCAACGCCAGGGTTGTGGGTTCGATTCCCACGGGGAAGTATGAAAAAAATAAATAATGTATGCACTCACTAACTGTAAGTCGCTCTGGATAAGAGCCTGATCAAACATCTCTGGAGAGACCTGAAAATAGCTGTGCAGCGACACTCACCATCCAACCTGACAGAGCTTGAGAGGATCTGCAGAGAAGAATGGGAGAAACTCCCAAAATACAGGTGTGCTAAGCTTGTAGCGTCATACCCAAGAAGAATCAAGGCTGTAATCACTGCCAAAGGTACTTCAACAAAGTCCTGAGTAAAGGGTCTGAATACTTATGTAAATATTATATTTCTGTTTTTTTATATTTTATAGATTTGCAAACATTTATAACCTGTTTTTGCTTTGTCATTATGGGGTATTGTGTGTAGATCGATGAGGGGAAAAAAACAATTTAATCAATTTTAGAATAAGGCTGTAACGTAACAAAATGTGGAAAAAGTCAAGGGATCTGAATACTTATCGAATGCACTGTAGGTCTGCTGATTTAATCAGTGTTGACAATGGAGTAGTCAAGTGCTGAATTCTGTGTAGGAAAGCCCATCTTTAACAACTGCTTAATTTTTCTGTCATACCTGTATTGCAGATAGCTGAGAAAATGCCTCTTAAAAGAAAGCTAGAAGCCTGTGGAAGTCAGACTCTTACAGTATTTTTTAAAATGCCCAGTGCAGTCAATTAGTTTTTTACTGTGTTTTATATCATATTCTACAACAGCTGATGAAACTAACACTGTAAAAGTGTGACATTTTTTGGGGGTGTCATTTCCTGATAGTTGCTGGTTGAAAATACAATCTAGCATTAGAATGTAAATAAATTAAATAAATAATATGCCATTTAGCAGACGCTTTTATCCAAAGCGACTTACAGTCAATACCAGACGCCGCCACAAATAGAGCTTGTTCAGTAAAAATGTCTTAACTAAGGGAGCCTGGCTGGCTACTTTTTCCATTTGGCTGGGTACTTACTACATGTGCTTGTGGAAAACACTGGAAACGTGGTAATTAACTGCAATGACCGTAATCCATTGCGCCTGCTCTTCCCGGACCCGTATAGAGGCAGATACACAGACCATATGAGACCGCATGAGAGCAGAATGTACACAACGACGAGGGGGATAGAGACAGTTCGTGAGGAAGCTCTACCCAATTGATAGTTATAGTAGTTGGTAATAAGCAGTCTTGAAAGTATGCCTTGTGTACTTTGAAGAACTAGTCAAATGATTTTGTCAGCCTACTAGCCTAGCTTAATAGGATGACTCATTCAATTGGGAGCACAGAGATAACGTTACCTGGTTGTCTGGCTGGCTGGATGGCTGTTACTGCTTGGGCTGAGACGAGAGGATGATAGGCATGTACATTTCGGTAAATTTTGCAGCCGACTAAACGTCCTTCATTAACCGGTCAAGAAACGGTAAAACATTTTCCAAACAGTAAAATGTCCTATTTTGTTGCCTTACAACCTGGAATTAAAATGGATTTTTGGGTGAGTTTGTATCATTTGATTTACACAACATGCCTACCACTTTGAAGATGCAAAATATTTTTTCTTGTGAAACAAACAAGAAATAAGACAAAAAAACAGAACACTTGAGCGTGCATAACTATTAACCTTCCCAAAGTCAATACTTTGTAGAGCCACCTTTTGCAGCATTTACAGCTGCAAGTCTCTTGGGGTAAATGTCTCTATAAGCTTGGCACATCTAGCCACTGGGATTTTTGCCCATTCTTCAAGGCAAAACTTCTCCAGCTCCTTCAAGTTGGATGGGTTCCACTGGTGTACAGCAATCTTTAAGTCATACCACAGATTCTCAATTTGATTTTTTCCTTGATGGCCAAAAAGCTCAATTTTAGTCTCATCTGAACAGAGTACCTTCTTCCATATGTTTGGGGAGTCTCCCACATGCCTTTTGGCGAACACCAAACGTGTTTGCTTATTTTTTTATTTTAAGCAATGGCTTTTTTCTGGCCACTCTTCCGTAAAGCCCAGCTCTGTGGAGTATATGGCTTAAAGTGGTCCTATGGACAGATACTCCAATCTTAGCTGTGGAGCTTTGCAGCTCCTTCAGGGTTATATTTGGTCTCTTTGTTGCCTCTCTTATTAATGCCCTCCTTGCCTGGTCTGTGAGTTTTGGTGGGCGGCCCTCTCTTGGCAGGTTTGTTGTGGTGCCATATTCTTTCCATTTTTTAATAATGGATTTAATTGTGCTCGGTGGGATGTTCAAAGTTTCTGATGATTTTGTTTATAACCCAACCCTGATCTGTACTTCTCCACAACTTTGTCCCTGACCTGTTTGGAGAGCTCCTTGGTCTTCATGGTGCCACTTGCTTGGTGGTGCCCCTTGCTTAGTGGTGTTGCAGACTCTGGGGCCTTTCAGAAATGGTGTGTATATATATATATATATATATATATATATATATATATATACACTGAGATCATGTGACACTTAGATTGCACACAGGTGGACTTTATTTAACTAATTATGTGACTTCTGAAGGTAATTGGTTGCACCAGATCTTATTTAGGGGCTTCATAGCAAAGGGGGTGAATACATATGAACGCACCACTTTTCCGTTATTTATTTTGTATAATTTTTTGTAACATGTTATTTTTTTCATTTCACTTCACCAATTTTGTATATGTCCATTACATGAAATCCAAATAAAAATCAATTTAAATTACAGGTTGTAATGCAACAAAATAGGAAAATCGCCAAGGAGGATGAGTACTTTTGCAAGGCACTGTATAAGGCTATTAAGCTGATGAGACACGTTTTTATGAAGAAAACACTTAAGACACGGTTGGTTTGCCGTTGGCGTTCTCAGTGCTAATTGGATTTTCCACAATCCTGGGTGTGTAATTACAAAGACGGGCACAAATAATTTCAGTTTGGTTACCACCCAAATTTCTTCCATTTTGTTTCTGTTTGACAGTATTCCCTAATGTCTTTTAGGCCTGTTAAACTGTGTTCATTCTTCTTTCTTTAGGTTGTTATTTATGGAGACATGCCAAAGAATAAAGAGAATGTGGTCTACCTTTCCAACCATCAATGCACAGGTGAGCTTTTCCTATTGAACAAAAATGTTAACTAATTCATTTCTGTTCATTCTGAGCTAGAATAATTTGTTAGTTAAAGTTTGGCACATGATGCAGTAAAATTGTATCTCATCAGAGAAAGCTAAGGTTTGCAGTTGGACTAAAACCCTTGCTTTCTCTTGTCCTGTCATACAGCGGACTGGATCATTGCTGACATGTTAGCCATTAGGCAGAAAGCACTTGGCCATGTGAGATACGTCCTAAAAGATGGGCTGAAGTGGCTCCCATTATACGGATGGTATTTCTCTCAGGTAATATATATCTATATATACGTTTTGGACTGTCAAAGAGATGCTATAATATGTATTGACTGTAAGTCGCTTTGGATAAAAGCGTCAGCTAAATGGCATATTATTATTATTATTATTATTGTGCTGATTGGTAAGATTGATTTAAGCCTATTTGGTATCTGTTTTTTTATCAAATGTTATTTTTTAGCATGGAGGTGTCTACGTGAAGCGAAGCGCAAAGTTTGACGAGAAAGCAATGAAAAAAAAGCTATCTTCACAGACAGTGTTGGGAACACCAGTAAGTATAAAAGGAGCACACTGACAAACTGTCTGATTTGTGAACGTTATTTCCTCCCAAAAGCTTTTTTGGTGATAAGCATGTTATTTCTTACATGGCAGCCAATAACTTTTTACATGGCTGCCAACAAAACTAATGTTTAATACTGTCACTTCATTCAAATGGATTCTATTGATGGGCTGCGAGGCTGTCAGTGAATACCATAAAAGTGCTCTTACATTATCCCAATTTGTCATTTATTGAAGAGCATTGCTATTCTAAAATATACAAAATACATGAAACCAACTGAAATAAATATTTATAATGGCCATTTTGGTCACTGGTATGTCTGTTCTAAATGTTTCCCTGTGCCTAGTCTATATCAGGAAGGACAGCTGTTGCCAAATAACTTTTTCCCAGGACACTAAGATCCACAGCTTGTTTGGTCTTCTGGGCTACCCTTTGTCCCTGGGCTTCTGTGCTAGCATTTTGTCATGATTTTATGACTAGTCTACTCTTCATGACACCCAAGTTTTCATATGTGCATGGGTACAGTGCATTCGGAAGGTTTCCACATTTTGTTTTACGGTACAGCCTTTTCCTCATCAATCTACACACAATACCCCATAATGACAAAGCCAAAACAGGTTTTTAGACATTTTTGCACATTTATTAAAAATAAAAAACATACCTTATTTACATAAGTATTCAGACCCTTTGCTATGAGACTTGAAATTGAGCTCAGGTGCATCCTGTTTCCATTGATCATCCTTGAGATGTTTCTACAACTTGGAGTCCACCTGTGGTAAATTCAATTGATTGGACATGATTTGGAAAGGCACACACCTGTCTATATAAGGTCCCACAGTTGACAGTGCATCTCAGAGCAAAAACCAAGCCATGAGGTCGAAAGAACTGTCCGTAGAGCTCCGAGATAGGATTGTGTCGAGGCACAGATCTGGGGAAGGGTACCAAAAAATGTCTGCAGATTTGAAGTACCCCAAAAACACAGTGGCCTCCATCATTCTTAAATGGAAGATGTTTGGAACCCCCAAGACTCTGAGCAATCGGGGGAGAAGGGCCTTGGTCAGGGAGGTGACCAAGAACCCGATGGTCACTCTGACAGAGCTCCAGAGTGTCTCTGTGGAGATGGGAGAGCCTTCCAAAAGGACAACCATCTCTGTAGCACTCCACCAATCAGGCCTTTTACTCCTCAGTAAAAGGCACATGACAGCCCGCTTGGAGTTTGCCAAAAGGCACCTAAAGGACTCTGACAATGAGAAACAAGATTCTCTGGTCTGATGAAACCAAGATTGAACTCTGTGGCCTGAATGCCAAGCGTCACGTCTGGAGGAAACCTGGCACCATCCCTACGGTGAAGCATGGTGGTGGCATCATGCTGAGGGGATGTTTTTCAGTGGCAGGGACTGGGAGACTAGTCAGGATCGAAGGAAAGATGAATGGGGCAAAATACAGAGAGATGCTTGTTTGAAACCTGCTCCAGAGCACTCAGGACCTCAGACTGGTGCGAAGGTTCACCTTCCAACAGGACAACTACCTTAAGCACACAGCCAAGACAACACAGGAGTGGCCCATCCAGAGCCCGGACTTGAACCCGATCGAACATCTCTGGAGAGACCTGAAAATAGCTGTTCATCGACGCTCCCCCGTCCAACCTGACAGAGCTTGAGAGGATCTGCAAAGAAGAATGGGAGAATCTCCCCAAATACAGGTGTGCTAAGTTTGTAGCGTCATACCCAAGAAGACTCGAGGCTGTAATCGCTGCCAAAGGCGCTTCAACAAAGTGCTAAGTTAGGGGTCTGAATACTTGTGATATTTCCACTTTTCAAAAAAACTGTTTTTGCTTTGTCATTATGGGGTATTGTGTGTAGATTGAGGGGGGGTGGGTGGAATTTAATCCATTTTAGAATAAGGATGTATCTTAGTCTAGCAGCCTTGTTGTAAAACTGCAGTCTTAGACTACTTATCTTATAATATAATAATAATATGCCATTTAGCAGACGCTTTTATCCAAAGCGACTTACAGTCATGCGTGCATACATTTTTTTTCGTGTATGGGTGGTCCCGGGGATCGAACCCACTACCTTGGCGTTACAAGCGCCGTGCTCTACCAGCTGAGCTACAGAGGACCACATCTTAAGAGTAATGATGTGCTGATCTCCCCTGCAAGACTTCATTTGCCGTAACTCAACCCGTTTGTTTTGGTTTCTGTGCAGATGTATCTTGTCATCTTCCCAGAAGGAACGCGATACAACCCTGAACTCGAGAAGATGATCAGCGACAGTCAGGCTTTTGCCACTAAAGAAGGTGCTCTTTCATACTTTCACATTGATTTACACATTTAGAGCAAGTGTGTTCTTTCATGACTAATAGCAAAGCTTTGGGGAGGATTAACGGATGGGGGTCATGTAGGGGTAATGCATTGCAACATGTACGTCACCTTCTAACCCACCCATGCTTAATGGATTCCTTATCCCACATTGAAAGTGATTGTTGTAGCACTTACATTATTTATTTTTTTCAACCTTCAACCGCTGAAACTCAGCAATTTACCAGTGGCCATGTTCAGAGGCAGAATAAAGAGGAGGACTCAATCCAAAACCGTTTAACTGTATAAGGGTTTTTGGGTCATAAGGTATTTGGTAACAAGGTTTTGAACACAAATACAACTCGCAACTTAAAAGCAAGATACATTTACCGTAACAGCGAATACGTTCTACCCCCCAACTAACTTTTTGCCATCTCTGTTAAAATCCCACAACCCAAATGTTTGTTGACAGCATTAGAGCGGAACCTTAGACAATATGAAAAGCTGCCTGGCTGTTTCGTATTTTTTATCCTCGTCAGTGGATTGCTGGTACAGTGCCAAGAGCTTGGCAGCTTGGACCAGTGAGCTGCTTTAATGAAATATCCCAGAGGCTGTAGCTTATAAATTGCGCAAAAGATTAACTTGTGATTACAAAAGTATGTTACTGCTGGCTTATAAGTGATTTATAATGTTGCTAGACCTAATTCGCAAGAGCAAATTGAAAGGTTTGAAATGGCATCTTGTTTAAGACATTTTGTTTCATAAAGTAGAATATATTAGTTTGGTAGCAGACTGATACCTTTGGCCATGTAGTGTATGTGGACACCTGCTCGTCGAACATCTCATTCCAAAATCATGGGCATTAATATGGAGTTGGTCCCCTTTTGCTGCTATAACAGCTTCCACTCTTCTGGGAAGGCTTTCCACTAGATGTTGAAACATTGCTGCGGGGACTTGCTTCCATTCAGCCACAAGAGCATTAGTGAGGTCGGCCACTGATGTTGGGGGATTAGGACTGGCTTGCTCTGCGTTCCAATTCATCCCAAAGGTGTTTGATGGGGTTGAGGTCAGGGCTCTGTGCAGGCCAGTCAAGTTCTTCCACACCGATCTCGACAAACCATTTCTGTATGGACCTTGCTTTGTGCACAGGGGCATTGTCATACTGAAACAGGAAAGGGCCGTCCCCAAACTGTTGCCACAAGGTTGGAAGCACAGAAATGTCTAGAATGTCATTGTATGCTGTAGCGTTAAGATTTCCCTACACTGGAACTAAGAGGCCTAGCCCAAACCATGAAAAACAGCCCCAGACCATTATTCCTTTACTTTACAGTTGGTACTATGCATTGGGGCAGGTAGCGTTCTCCTGGCATCCGCCAACCCAAATTTGTCCGTTGGACTGCGAGAAGGTGAAGCATGATTCACGAGAACGCGTTTCCACTGCACCATAGTCCAATGGCGTCGAGCTTAATACCACTCCAGCTGACGCTTGACATTGTGCATGGTGAGTTTAGGCTTGTGTGCAGCTGCTCGGCCATGGAAACCCATTTTAATGAAGCTCCTGACGAACAGTTATTGTGCTGACGTTGCTTCCAGAGGCAATTTGGAACTCTGTAGTGAGTGTTGCAACCGAGGACAGGCGATTTTTACGCACTATGCGCTTCAGCACTCAGCGGTCCCGTTCGGTGAGCTTTTGTGGCCTACCACTTTGCGGCTGAGCCGTTGTTGCACCTATACGTTTCCACTTCACAATAACAGCACTTACAGTTGACCTGGGCAGCTCTAGCAGGACAGAAATTTGACGATCTGACTTGTTGGAAAGTTGGCATCCTATGATGGTGCCACATTGAAAGTCACTGAGCTCTTCAGTAAGGCTATTCTACTGGCAATGTTTGTCTATGAAGATTGTATGGCAGTGTGCTTGATTTTATAAACCTGTCAGCAACAGGTGTGGCCGAAATAGCAGAATCCACTAATTTGAAGGGTTGAATATTAATAAATAATTAAGCTAATGAAAACGTGATTTTCCTATGTTTTATGTTTTATATTTCCACACTATGTGGTTGGGAGAATATTGCGAAAATGATGATAATGCCCTTTAAGTGTATGAGCTGTTTTGAAAAGACTGCCTGAAATTTCAGCCTGTTTTGGTGGAATGGCTTTTTGGCCTGCCTGGTGACCTCACCAGGCGGTTAATTAGTTAGTAGACCAATAAGAACGAGAGTTCCAAACCTCTCTGCCAATAACAGCTAGTTTTCCTCTCCCCTCTCAGACCACTCCCAGACAGTCCTAGCAAAATTCTTGCGTGAGAAATTGCTCTTTGCCAAGAAGCTATTTTTGTTTCATTTTTACAATTTTAATTGAAAACAATTAGGTACCAGAAATGATTTGATGTTGAGAAACTGCTTCATTGGGCCTTTTAGATCATAATCCCTTGTCGTCTGACATTTGAGATTGCAGATTTCTCAATTAACTGCTTTGGCCATCACAGCCATATCACCATGAAATGGAACGCAATATATACACAGTGTGGCACTCGATAAACTGCATATCTGTATTCCCAGTTGTGAAATCCATAGATTAAGGCCTAATTTATTTAAATTCACTGATTTCCTTATATGAACACATGTGGGTTTAGATAATTGCTGGTCTCAAATGCAGCCGACATTCTTTCTGATTTAGTGATTACAACAACCGGGTGACATTTGAAAGACATCATTAGTCACCTCTCAGTGAAGGATGGGCTAGTTTGTCCATTGATACTGCAATTTGTCCACTGTCTACCATTCAGTTATGTGACCTGATTATTTAAATGGAGGGCTGTATTACTGTTTGTTGGCATTTATTGTAAGATTCAAATGAAATCCTGGTACTAGAAACAGGTGTGTAGTAGTGACTTGTGTTTACCACTGCTATTGGAAACTTGGTATAATTAACCCTTTACACTAGTGGGAATTGGCCTCTATGGGTAGGACTACATTTGAAATGTTTCTTACAGAAGAAATATGAAATGCATAACCATGGTAGAAATTGAAAGGGAACAGTTTGGAGATAATGGGAAATTATTACATTTACTGTAATGGGAAAATTATTACAGTTACTGTACTTTTCATTTGTCAATAACAAAATCAGAAAATACTCTGGATACATTCAGTAATATAAGACTATTCCTGGAAAATGTGGGATAGGTAAAAAAAAAAAAGACAAGTATTTGAGTGAGAGGACTGTCCAAGTGGCCACACACTTCTCCAAAGTGTGCACAGTTCCTAAGCAATTTACATTTAAGTCATTTAGCAGACGCTCTTATCCAGAGCGACTTACAGGAGCAATTAGGGTTAAGTGCCTTGCTCAAGGGCACATCGACAGACTTTTCACCTAGTCGGCTCGGGGATTAGAACCAGCGACCTTTCGGTTACTGGCACAACGCTCTTAACCGCTACCTGCCGCCCATATGCACTTTTATGACTCAGAGAAGTCTTCAACTATAAGGTACTTTTTTAGCTCTCCTAGCTGTGCCATTGAGGAACTAGAGCAAGCACACTTATAGTTGTTTTGTTTGGAACACAACCCTGCATCCCCGCCATCGCACAATTACTGTTTTTTACGCAATCCAAAAACGTCCATTATAAAATCAGTCAGGTTAGGTGGGCATGATTTAAAAGCTTGTTTCGATTGTCAACATGACTAGCTAAGTTATAAAATACAATCTTAGTATTAGGCTTTCACAAGGCAATTCAGAGAAACAGATTGGAATTTTAGTGTGCATAGAAAGGAGTCATGAGTGCATTCAGGTGCGTGTGCCGCAGAAAATTTTCTTCACAATAAACAAACAGGCTAATTCTGTTCAGAACAACCCAGGGTATGACACGATGTTATCTTGTAAATGTATGTTGAATGTTGACACTGTATATGACATGAGTTTAATAATTTGGAAATGTGAAGTGCACATTTGGACTCACAGGTGTTTGGCTTGTATGACATCAAAGCAGTATTTATTATAATCCTCAACGTCTCATCTGTCAAAATACTTTGAGTCCTCTTAATTTACAACATTTCCCTCACTCAGACAGCAAAACATTTGCAAAAGTTGCCCAATTACTGGGAGGGATGGGGGCGACTACTTGTCGCTCGAGGCACTCAAGTTCAGAATGTCTGTCAATCAAAACCCATACAGCGCTGTGATGCACAGAGCCAGAGCTCTGACTTCATGTATAGCATGTTACTGTACAGCCACTATGTTCCAATTTAGACACTTATTAGTGGCCAAATCTGCCATTCTCAACACGTATAAAGGGCTACCACTGCATGTCGCCTGGCACAACAAAGAGATTTAACCAATGCTCTCCTGTTTATTTCCCTCAGGGCTGGCTGTCTTAGACCATGTTCTGACCCCAAGAATGAAAGCCTCTCATGTTGCCATAGAGACCATGAGGGATCACCTGAATGCTGTGTATGATATCACCGTTGTGTATGAGGGAACACTGGGCAAAAGCAGTGAAAGACAACCTGCCCCAACCATGCCAGGTATGAGGTTGTTTGAGATAATTCAATTATTTCATATTATAGGGAAATGGAAACACTAGGAAGTAAATCTAAGCAAAGAGATGTAGTCAATCCACTAATACTAAACATGTGCATTTAACATAAAAACAGCTCTATATTTAGTATTTTGATCATCGACAAGGCTGATTTTAGAGGGGTTGGGTTAAATGTGGAAGGTACATTTCAGTTGAATGCATTCAGTTGTACAACTGACTAGGTATCTCCCTTTCCCTTTATTTGAGCTATGTTCAGCGCCATTTTAAATTGCAATAGTAACGACTGACGCCAGTGAGTCACTGGCAGGAATCACCCAATTGGCTGTGGCAGCCTTTCTTAAAGTATGGGTCTCGACCCAAAGTGGGTTGCAGACCTGTTAATGGTGGGTCGCGATGTGTCAGAGTAAATGTATAATTATTTCCTTGATTACTGGAATTGATTTGGCCAAGTGCAACTGCGCTCACTGTTCAGTGCGCTCTCTGCTTAGCTGCGGTCTCTGCTCAGTTTGGCAGCTGCGCGAGAGGGAGATGCCCCTGTGCTTCGCGGTTTAAGGATATTTTTTCTGCAGTTTTAGTTTTTTATAGTTTTCTCTTTTTTTATACCTTTATTTAACTAGGGAAGTCGGTTAAGAACAAATTCTTATTTACATTGACGGCCTACACCGGCCAAACCCGGACGATGCTGGGTCAATTGTGCGCCGCCCTATGGGACTCCCAATCACGGCCGGTTGTGATACAGCCTGGAATCGAACCAGGGGGTCTGTAGTGACACCTCAAGCACTGTGATGCAGTGCCTTAGACCGCTGCGCCACTCGGGAGCTTGAAGAGCACTCCGCGACCCACACGCTGCAGCGTTGTCGTTCAGCAGCAGATGATGCGCTGTCAGCCACTGACTTGTCATTCCCACTCGCCAGCACTCACCACTGTCATCAAATGGACTCAACCTAGCCATAAGTTCTGACTGAGCTCAATCGTCATGAAACGCAAGTACAGCGATGAGTTTCTCTCTTATTTTCATACAAACTTTGAGAAATAACGAGGAGCGCCAACCTTTGTGCGGGGAAGTGCTTAGTAATGAGTCAAAACGAATAAATTAATTAAACGACACGTCCTGACCAAACATCCACAGCATGACAGTAAACCCAGGGAGTTCTTTCAGAACAGGGCAGAATGCTTCAGGAAACAGTGCTTCGACCGTGAAAAAGTAAGTCCGCTAGCAAGGCATTGTTGTCATTTTATAACAGGTGATGATAAGCAGAAATAAGGGAGTACTGTATCTTATAGTAGTAGATGTGAGTTTCTCATTTAAACAATCCCCTGGCCTTGTACACAGCTAATAGCTAACGTTAGCCAAAGCAAGCTAGCTAGCTGCTGATAGTGCAACCCTTAGTAACAGTACAGATGAAGAAGAATGATCAGGCCTACTGTACATCTTACTGTAGAAATTATTGTTGAAAACAAGTCTAGATTGGAACTGTTGCTGTTAAAATACAAGTAATAATTTGTGTTCTGAACTGGAATAAACCAATTGAAGCTAGATGCTTTTTGAGGCAAACACAGTTCTGGGTTGCTCATCTACAGCAGGAAATGGTATCCTGCCTGACTGAGAAAGCAGTAGATATTCGTATCCATTTTGGCAACGCATACCTATGCGAGTCAGGGTTCTCAACTCTGGCGTACTTAAAAAACAAGTACAGAAACAGACTCAATGCTGAGCATTACCTCTGTGTCGCACTGTCAAACTGAGCCCAGAGTAGACAAGCTTGTTAAACTTCAACCTGTGTAAATTGATCAATCAGTTTATTCCAGTTCAGAAGAAAAAATATTTATTGTATTTTAACAGCAACAGTTCCAACCTATACTTTTTTTCAACAATACTTTCTACAGTAAGATGTACAGTAGGCCTGAATTTTTCATCTGTACTGTTACTTAGGGTTGCATCAAAAACGGAGCCTGTCTGTGTGATGTGATCAGTTTATTCCAGTTCAGAAAATGATTTATTGTATTGTAACAGTTCCAACCTAGACAGATATGTGAAGAGTTTTTAATGGGGAAAAATACCCATATAAGTAGCTATTCATGTTTATTTAATTTCATTATTTGTTTTTGTCTATAGTGAGGGGAAAAAAGTATTTGATCCCCTGCTGATTTTGTACGTTTGCCCACTGACAAAGAAATGATCAGTCTATAATTTTAATGGTAGGTTTATTTGAACAGTGAGACAGAATAACAACAAAAAAATCCAGAAAAACACATGTCAAAAATGTTATAAATTGATTTGCATTTTAATGAGGGAAATAAGTATTTGACCCCTCTGCAAAACATGACTTAGTACTTGGTGGCAAAACCCTTGTTGGCAATCACAGAGGTCAGACGTTTCTTGTAGTTGGCCACCAGGTTTGCACACATCTCAGGAGGGATTTTGTCCCACTCCTCTTTGCAGATCTTCTCCAAGTCATTAAGGTTTTGAGGCTGACGTTTGGCAACTCGAACCTTCAGCTCCCTCCACAGATTTTCTATGGGATTAAGGTCTGGAGACTGGCTAGGCCACTCTAGGACCTTAATGTGCTTCTTCTTGAGCCACTCCTTTGTTGCCTTGGCCGTGTGTTTTGGGTCATTGTCATGCTGGAATACCCATCCACAACCCATTTTCAATGCCCTGGCTGAGGGAAGGAGGTTCTCACACAAGATTTGACGGTACTTGGCCCCGTCCATCGTCCCTTTGATGCGGTGAAGTTATCCTGTCCCCTTAGCAGAAAAACACCCCCAAAGCATAATGTTTCCACCTCCATGTTTGACGGTGGGGATGGTGTTCTTGGGGTCATAGGCAGCTTTCCTCCTCCTCCAAACACGGCGAGTTAAGTTGATGCCAAAGAGCTCCATTTTGGTCTCATCTGACCACAACACTTTCATCCAGTTCTCCTCTGAATCATTCAGATGTTCATTGGCAAACTTCAGACGGGCATATATATGTGCTTTCTTGAGCAGGGGGACCTTGCGGGTGCTGCAGGATTTCAGTCCTACACGGCGTGTGTGTTACCAATTGTTTTCTTGATGACTATGGTCCCAGCTGCCTTGAGATCATTGACAAGATCCTCCCGTGTAGTTCTGGGCTGATTCCTCACCGTTCTCATGATCATTGCAACTCCACGAGGTGAGATATTGCATGGAGCCCCAGGCCCAGGGAGATTGACAGTTCTTTTGTGTTTCTTCCATTTGCGAATAATCGCACCAACTGTTGTCACCTTCTCACCAAGCTGCTTGGCGATGGTCTTGTAGCCCATTCCAGCCTTGTGTAGGTCTACAATCTTGTCCCTGACATCCTTGGAGAGCTCTTTTGTCTTGGCCATGGTGGAGAGTTTGGAGTTTGGCAGTCTATGGGGGTGCCACAGGGTTCAATTCTTGGGCCGACTCTTTTCTCTGTGTATATCAATGACGTCGCTCTTGCTGCTGGTGACTCTCAGATCCACCTCTACGCAGACGACACCATTTTGTATACATCTGGCCCTTCATTGGACACTGTGTTAACAAACCTCCAAACGAGCTTCAATTCCATACAACACTCCTTCAGTAGCCTCCAACTGCTCTTAAACACTAGTAAAACTAAATGCATGCTCTTCAACCGAACGCTGCTTGCACCCGCCCACCCGACTAGAATCACTACTCTCGACGGGTCTGACCTAGAGTATGTGGACAACTACAAATACCTAGGTGTCTGGTTAGACTGTAAACTCTCCTTCCAGACTCACATTAAGAATCTCCAATCCAAAGTTAAATCTAGAATCGGTTTCCTATTTCGCAACAAAGCCTCCTTCACTCATGCTGCCAAACATGCCCTCGTAAAACTGACTATCCTACCGATCCTTGACTTTGGCGATGTCATTTACAAAATAGCCTCCAACACTCTACTCAGCAAATTGGATGTAGTCTATCACAGTGCCATCCGTTTTGTCTCCAAAGCCCCATATAATACCCACCACTGTGACCTGTACGCTCTTGTTGGCTGGTCCTCACTACATATTCGTCGCCAAACCCACTGGCTCCAGGCCATCTATAAATCACTGCTAGGCAAATCCCCGCCTTATCTTAGCTCATTGGTCACCATAGCAACACCCACCCGTAGTCTGCGCTCCAGCGGGTATATCTCACTGGTCATCCCCAAAGCCAACACCTCCTTTGGCCGCAATTCCTTCCAGTTCTCTGCTGCCAATGACTGGAACAAATTGCAAAAATCTCTGAAGCTGGAGACACTTATCTCCCTCACTAACTTTAAGCATCAGTTGTCAGAGCACCTTACCGATCACTGCACCTGTACACAGCCCATCTGAAATTAGCCCGCCCAACTACCTCATCCCTATATTGTTATCTATTTTGCTCATTTGTACCCCAGTATCTGTATTTGCACATCATCTCTTGCACATCTATCATTCCAGTGTTAATACTAATTGTACTTATTTTGCACTATAGCCTATTTTATTGCCTACCTCCATAACTTGCTAAATTTGCACACTGTATATTATATGTATTTCTGTTGTATTTTTGACTTTGTTTTGTTTTACCCCATATGTAACTCTGTGTTTGTTTTTATCGCACTGCTATGCTTTATCTTGGCCAGGTCGCAGTTATAAATGAGAACTTGTTCTCAACTGGTTTACCTGGTTAAATAAAGGTGAAATAAAAAAATAAAAAAATAAATCTGATTGATTGCTTCTGTGGACAGGTGTATTTTTATACAGGTAACAAGCTGAGATTAGGAGCACTCCCCTTAAGAGTGTGCTCCTAATCTCAGCTTGTTACCTGTATAAAAGACACCTGGGAGCCAGAAATCTTTCTGATTGAGAGGGGGTCAAATACTTATTTCCCTCATTTAAAATGCAAATCAATGTATAACATTTTTGACATGCGTTTTTCTGGATTTTGTTGTTGTTATTCTGTCTCTCACTGTTCAAATAAACCTACCATTAAAATTATAGACTGATCATTTCTTTGTCAGTGGGCAAATGTACAAAATCAGCAGGGGATCAAGTACTTTTTTTCCTCACTGTATATTGCATTTGTTTTAGGCATAAGGGCAATGAAATGTACCAGTATTTACGTATAGTTGCATATTTTCAGAAGCTTGGGTCCCAGGAAAACACAGAATTTGTCATTTGGGTCCCAGGCTGAACAAGTTTAAGAACCCCTGGTCTCTGGTATTGAGTTTTTGCGCGGAGTGAGTTGAAGAGAGGTTAGGTGCGGACAACTAAGATGGCAACAACAAGTAGTAATTCAAACATGAAGTGTATAGCGCCAGGCTGTACGAATTAACGCCAAAAAAATCCCCTGGTAAGCTACCATCGGCTGCCCAAGGACCCACAACCTTTGAAGAAGTAGCTCCATGTCCTGAAGAGGAAGGACGTGCCAGCTCGAGCTCGCAGGATCTACAGCCAGCACTTTGCAAAGTAAAACTTCATGATGAAGGGCACTTTCGATGCGGCAAATGGGAGTTTCCGAATGAAAAGGACTCATAGGCCTACATTGAAGCCCTCTGCTTGCCCCTCCATTTTCAATTTCGAGTGTTATGGTGTAGGTGTTACCGACCGATCAACATCGCTGACTTCAGAGTCAAGCCAAAGCCGGACTGAACAGAGGCGGCGACGTGAGTCAATGGAGCCTGAGGTAACGTTAACCGATCATGAGTCATGACTGTTGTTAACTAGGCTAGCGTTAGAGACTGGATAACTTTGTTGCAACTCTAGTTGGAGGTAACTAGCTAATTGCATCTGAAGTGTTTTGTGTAACACCCCCAAGCAACTCCACTGCAACTAAAATTGCAACACAGTTTCACCGTATAGCCCTGTTATTAGGTAGCTAGCTAGCTTCAAGTTCAGCTAGTCAAGTAATACATTTTTTGCTGACGGATTTGTTTTTGGAATGCTTTGTTGGCGCCACCTCATTTAGTTAGACTGAAGTTGACATGGCTAATGTTTGCTGAAAAATAAATGTCCCTGTATTTGCTTTGCTGTGTGTGTGCTAACATAGCATACAAGACAGGTAGCTTGTTAATGCCAGCTGATATATTTGGGTTCAGTTGTCTTAACAAAACGTTTGTTTGATTTCAGGATGACATCGTCATCCCTGAAAAGGTTTTCATCCTGGAGGAGACTGTGCAGGAGGCAGAGGTACTTGCAAATCCATGTTATTTCTAAGGCTATTGTTTATTTCAAGACAATCTGTCATCCCTGAGGCCATTTTGGATATAAAATGGACAATATACAGTATATGCAGTGATTCTTCAATATAACTATAGCCTAATAGATGCCTTAATTTTATTTCTACCAACAGGAAAGAATAGTTAGTACAGCATGCCAAACTGACCCCTGAGTGCCAGTGTTCTTGTGCTGCAGTGGAGGAGAGGTCCACCAGGACCATCACTAAAGAGCTCAAGGCCCAGCTAGATTTCGCTCACAACCATCAGTATACAACTGAGTCCTTCCCCTATCAGCCACAGATGGAGCTGACGGAGAGGTGAGAGTGAGATGAGAGAAGACCAGGACTCGCTGTATGAACCTGAGAGCTCAGAATCACAATCATCACAGTGCGAGCCAAGAGATACTATCGAAGAGTTTGTGCAAGATCCAAAATACATAGTCTTTGATAGCAAGCTGAGGGGAGTTTTTCACTGTCAGCCATGAGCCAGGATGTCGAGCAGTTGTCATCGTTAATCCCTGAAAATAAATAGTTTTGCCATCACCATGGAGACCGAGTGTGTTGTGGGCCTCAGGAGGAAGTGGGGGTCCCAGACCAGAGTGGGAAAGTTGTTTGCAGGGAATCTGTTGGTGCCATCAGTGGTCTTCCTTACTGGCAGCTCCCACTCCACATTTGTGGAAATATGTCACCTCAGCCTGGTGTCCATGTTGCTGCGACAGTTCGCAAACCAACAGCGCTTTTACATTGTGCCAGAGGTTAGCCACATGTGGACCCAGCACACGGAGGCCATTCTGGCTACAATTGGTGACAGTCCACTGATCGTATCTGGAGACGCACAGTGTGATTCTACAGGCCATTGTGCCTCCTTTGGCACTTACACCATCCTGGACTCTGCTTCCCACCTGATCCTCGCCCAGGAGACTTGTGCATGTGACCGAAGTGAAGAACAGCTACTGGTTGGAGACGGAGGAATTAGAAAGATGCCTGCAACACGTTGAGGTAAGCTATAGTCTAACCAATATTTTGTAGCTAGCCTAAGGGTTGTAAGTGTGTATTTGTGGGATTCATGAAGAGGACGTAGGTACCTTTTTAGGATAATAATACAATCATTATTACTAACGGGCCCATGGATGCAGCATTGAAACCCTGGCCACTGACAGGCATCCAAGTGTGAGGGTGCACTTGAAGGACTCACATGCTCATATCTGGCATGAGTATGACCTGTGGCACATTGCCAAAGGTGTGCGGAAACAGCTGGTAGCAATCAGGAAGCCAGAGGTACTGTCATATTTTATAGTAAAATCAGAACTATATGATGATTCAAGTCAGTGACTCAGGTGTCTCATTTATTCCCTGTGTCTCAGGTACTGCCATGGGTGAGGGCATTAACGCACCACTTGTGGTACTGTGCCGCCACTGCTGGTGGGAGTGTCCAGGTGCTAAAAGAAAAGTGGATCACCTTAGTTCACCACATACAAATGAACACCAGTGGGTCACTGGCGACACACTCAACTGCACCTAAAGAAGGAACACGACCCTGAATGAACACATCGTCGGCAGCTTTCGAGGCAGTGAGGAAAATCGTCCTCAACCCGAGATTGTTGAAGGATCTCGATAAGGTAAAAAAAGAATCATATCAACTATTTCTGAACATATACTGCAACATTGAGTAAATTAATAAGCACATTTTTCAAAACCACATTCTTTTTTTCTTGCATTCCTATGTGAATAACTACAACCAATTGATTGAATAAAATCAGTAACAGTATAATTGTAGTAGTCTACTTATTAATCTCTAGTTACAGTAATTAGATATTTTCTTTTGTAGGTGACGAAGTGTGTTCAGACAGGTGAACTCAAGAGTGTACATGCCCTGTACACTAAATACGTGCCCAAGAGGAACAAGTTTGGCCAGCAGGGGATGGTCGCAAGACTCCAAGTGGCTGCCTTCGACCACAATTATCGGTGGACAGACAGCAGGCTACAACAAAGGGAGTGGTCCGTTTCAAGCAACAGTTCTCCATGGCTGCCAGGGCGTTTGTGGTGAAATCCATCAAGGCGGCGAAGACATGGTGTTTCCGGTCTGAGCTTCTACACGGCATCGTTGACCGCAGTGCCAATGGTATGTCTACTATATTATGTCAGATATAGACATGTAGAGAGAAATTACCTAAAATGATTTGTGTAACTTATATCTGGCTCTAGGACCATCCCAGCGGACTCTCCTGAGTGCCCAAAGAGAGAGAGTGGCAGTCACTTTGGGGGAGCGGGCTGGTGTTCCCGAAAATGGAGAAGGAGCAGGCCATTCAACAGCGAATTCAAAGATACACCCATCCATAGAGACAATCGGAGTCTAATTGTTTTTCCACAGATTTATTTTTAACCGTTTCAACTCTCTCACCCCCGGACCTGCTGTCTCAACCTATGAATGCTCAGCTATGAAAAGCCAACTGACATTTTCTCCTGAGGTGTTGAAGTGCTGCGCCCTCTATAACCACTGGTTATTATTTTGATGTAAAAAGGGATTTGTAAAATACATTTGATTGTTTGCTGTGCTGCATGCTGTGTATTCACTAACTGATGTGAAATGTATGTAGTATCTGTAACATATTTTGGTGTGTATTTAATCTGCAACTTAACTTCTTAAAGCAGCAATCGGCAGTATAAACAATAAGTGTCCACCCTGCTCCTCTTTCGGTAAAAAGCTGAGGGATGGGGCTGGAGAAATGTAACCACTCTCAAATTCATAGACAGAGCTATGGATGCAAGGATTGACCATCCATGATATAAAAATGATAGCCTCAAAACATGATTAAAAATATATTCCAATTATAATCTGTGTTTTTATAGAAGGTGCAACAGGTCAGCACCTCAGGAGTAAATGGCAGTTGGCTTTTCATAGCCGAGCATTCAGAGGTGGAGAGAGGTAGAGAGACGAAAACAGCAGGTCCGGGACAAGGTAACACGTCCGGTGAACAGTTCAGGGTTGCATAGCCGCAGGCAGAACAGGTGATGTGGATGGGGCTGTGCTCGCCCTCCTGTTTCCTGTAGTCCACAATCAGCTCCTTGGTCTTACTGACGTTGAGGGAGAGGTTGTTGCTCTGGAACAACACTGCCAGGTCACTGACCTCCTCCCTGTAGGCTGACTCATCGTTGCTGGTGATCAGGCCTACCACCATCGTGTCGTCAGCAAACTTGATGATGGTGTTGGAGTCGTGCGTGGCCACGAAGTTGTGGGTGAACAGGGTGTACAGGAGGGGACTAAGCACATGAGGGTCAGCGTGGCGGAGGTGATGTTGCCTTCCCTCACCACCTGGGGTAGGCCCGTCAGGAAGTCCAGGATCCAGTTGCAGAGGGAGGTGTTCAGACCCAGAGTCCTAAGCTTGGTGACGAGCTTGGAGGGCACAAGGGTGTTGAACGCTGAGCTGTAGTCAATGAACAGCATTCTCACATAGGTATTCCTCTTATCTAGGTGGGTAAGGGCAGTGTGGAGAGCAATTGAGATTGCATCATCTATAGATCTGTTGGGGCGGTCTGCAAATTGGAGTGGTTCTGGGATGATGGAATTAATGGGTGCCATAACCAGCCTCTCAAAGCACTTCATGATTACAGAAATGAGTGCTACAGGGCGGTAGTCAATGTGGTATGAAGTCTTAGAGTTCTTGGGGACAGGAATGATGGTGGTCATTTTAAAATGTGGGGATTACAGACTGGGACAAGGCGAGGTTGAAAATTACAGTGAATATGCCTGCCAGCTGTTCTGTGCATGCTCTGAGAACGCGCCCTGGAACAACGTCAGGCCTTGACATGATTTAAAGACCTTTCTCACGTCGGCCTCGAAGAGCGAGATCACCTAATCCTCTGGGTCGGTGACGGCCTTCACACCCGGCACTATGTTGTTGTCAAAGCGTGCATAAAATGCATTGAGTTCGTCTGGTATAGAGGCATCGTTGGGCAGATCACGGTTGGGTCTTCCTTTGTAATCCGTAATGGACTGTAGCCCCTGCCACATGTGGCGGGCGTCGGAGCCTGTGTAATATGATATCAGCCTTATTCCTACACTACCATTCAAAAGTTTGGGGTCACTTAAATGTCCTTGTTTTTGTCCATTAAAATAACATCAAATTGATCAGAAATACAGTGTAGACATTGTTAATGTTGTAAATGGCTATTGTAGCTAGAAACTGCTGATTTTTAATGGAATATCTACATAGGCGTACAGAGGCCCATTATCAGCAACCATCAGTCCTGTGTTCCAATGGCACATTGTTTGCTAATCCAAGTTGATCATTTTAAAAGGCTAATTGATCATTAGAAAACCCTTTTGCAATTATGTTAGCACAGCTGAAAACTGTTTTGCTGATTTTAAAGAAGCAATAAAACTGGCCTTCTTGAGACTAGTTGAGTATCTGGAGCATCAGCAATTGTGGGTTCGATTTACAGAATCAAAATGGCCAGAAACAAAACTTTCTTCTGAAACTCGTCAGTCTATTCTTGTTCTGAGAAAGGAAGGCTATTCCATGCGAGGAAATTGCCAAGAAACTGAAGATCTCGTACAACGCTGTGTACTACTCCCTTCACAGAACAGCGCAAACTGGCTATAACCAGAATAGAAAGAGTGGGAGGCCCCGGTGCACAACTGAGCAAGAGGACAAATACATTAGTGTCTAGTTTGAGAAACAGACGCCTCACAGGTCCTCAACTGGCAGCTTCATTAAATAGTACCCGCAAAACACCAGTCTCAACATCAACAGTGAAGAGGCGACTCCGGGATGCTGACCTTCTATCAATCAATCAATCAATTTTATTTTATATAGCCCTTCTTACATCAGCTAATATCTCGAAGTGCTGTACAGAAACCCAGCCTAAAACCCCAAACAGCTAGTAATGCAGGTGTAGAAGCACGGTGGCTAGGAAAAACTCCCTAGAAAGGCCAAAACCTAGGAAGAAACCTAGAGAGGAACCAGGCTATGAGGGGTGGCCAGTCCTCTTCTGGCTGTGCCGGGTGGAGATTATAACAGAACCATGCCAAGATGTTCAAAAATGTTCATAAGTGACAAGCATGGTCAAATAATAATCAGGAATAAATCTCAGTTGGCTTTTCATAGCCGATCATTAAGAGTTGAAAACAGCAGGTCTGGGACAGGTAGGGGTTCCATAACCGCAGGCAGAACAGTTGAAACTGGAATAGCAGCAAGGCCAGGCGGACTGGGGACAGCAAGGAGTCACCACGGCCGGTAGTCCCGACGTATGGTCCTAGGGCTCAGGTCTCTCAGTTGGCTTTTCATAGCCGATCATTAAGAGTTGAAAACAGCAGGTCTGGGACAGGTAGGGGTTTCGTAACCGCAGGCAGAACAGTTGACTGGAATAGCAGCAAGGCCAGGCGGACTGGGGACAGCAAGGTGTCATCATGCCCGGTAGTCCTGACGTATGGTCCTAGGGCTCAGGTTCTCAGAGAGAAAGAGAGAACGAGAGAATTAGAGAGAGCATACTTAAATTCACACAGGACACTGGATAAGACAGGAGAAGTACTCCAGGTATAACCAACTAACCCCAGCCCCCCGACACATAAACTACTGCAGCATAAATACTGGAGGCTGAGACAGGAGCGGTCCGGAGACACTGTGGCCCCATCCGAAGAAACCCCCGGACAGGGCCAAACAGGAAGGATATAACCCCACCCACTCTGCCAAAGCACAGCCCCCGCACCACTAGAGGGATATCCTCAACCACCAACTTACAATCCTGAGACAAGGCCGAGTATAGCCCACAGAGGTCTCCACCACAGCACAAACCAAGGGGGGGCGCCAACCCAGACAGGAAGATCACGTCAGTAACTCAACCCACTCAAGTGACGCACCCCTCCTAGGGACGGCATGAAAGAGCACCAGCAAGCCAGTGACTCAGCCCCTGTAACAGGGTTAGAGGCAGAGAACCCCAGTGGAGAGAGGGGAACCGGCCTGGCAGAGACAGCAAGGGCTGTTCGTTGCTCCAGAGCCTTTCCGTTCACCTTCACACTCCTGGGCCAGACTACACTCAATCATATGACCTACTGAAGAGATAAGTCTTCAGTAAAGACTTAAAGGTTGAGACCGAGTCTGCGTCTCTCACATGGGTAGGCAGACTGTTCCATAAAAATGGAGATCTATAGGAGAAAGCCCTGCCTCCCGCTGTTTGCTTAGAAATTCTAGGGACAATTAGGAGGCCTGCGTCTTGTGACCGTAGCGTACGTATTGGTATGTACGGCAGGACCAACTCGGAAAGATAGGTAGGAGCAAGCCCATGTAACGCTTTATAGGTTAACAGTAAAACCTTGAAATCAGCCTTGCCTTAACAGGAAGCCAGTGTAGGGAAGCTAGCACTGGAGTAATATGATCAAATTTCTTGGTTCTAGTCAGGATTCTAGCAGCCGTATTTAGCACTAACTGAAGTTTATTTAGTGCTTTATCCGGGTAGCCGGAAAGTAGAGCATTGCAGTAGTCTAACCTAGAAGTAACAAATGCATGGATTAATTTTTCTGCA